TACAAATGTATTATTAACAGCTTAATTGTTTATGAGAGGGGAAAAGATGGTATTGGATTGGTGTTGGTATATCAGCAGGAGGTTGCAGCATCGGTACTGGAGCATGTAAAAGTGGTATCCAGCGATCACTACTCAATAGTAACTCTGTGAGGCTACTTTATGGATTTTTTAAAAAATATCTACAATTCCTAACATTCCTATGATTTAGTGTAGCCTTTCTATGGAAAATAAAATTAGGAAACAGTCTTTGTTTGACAGTGTTTCTTGTAAGAACGTCTTGGGACAGTTTCCAAAAGGATGTATTTGCACCTTCCTATCTAGATAAACACCTGGAGTATGACAGGGGGGTCAAACTGCCGGCCCGGGGCCCATTTCTGGCCCTCCATCCCCCTCCTTTCGCCTGGCAACATGATATAACTTAATTATTACTTTTTAAACACACATTTGAGGGCATCGTCAGCACACGAAAAGCAACATATTGTTAGATATTGTTCCTCCACTTATGAACGTGTTTTTCTTATTATTAATTCACAAAATGATGTATAAAGAGAGCTTTGTTTTCACTTTTATCTGGACTTCTCATTAAATTAGGAGACATCTTGTGTCCAGCAGTTAAACTTTTAAAATGAAAAGTATTTGCGTATTCATATATTCTGTATATTTCAATGATTTATGGAATTGTTTCTTCTATAATACAACAATATCCTCCTACCCTCGTAATATTCTCATGCCCACCGAGTCTGGTAGTCTTTGTGTATTAAATAATAACATAATAATCATGTAATCTTAGATTTTATTGCTTTAGGCTACAATACTAACATCTATTCATGACTTTTACTGCGCCTTCAGCCCTTAAATATATGGTATTCTTTGTATACTAAATTAAATCCTGCTACAACATTGGGGACTGTACTGCTACTATTGGATTCAGACACTAAGGAGTCACATGGGGCAAACAATATTAAAACAATACATATTCCTGGACTGACTCCCCTTTGATTCAGGTATTATATTATAAACTTTACCACATACACACACACCCTCCCCTCTAACACACATAACTGGCTTCATTGTATTGCGGGATTTAATTACAACCACGAGATATAAGAGAAAATCCTCTTATGCTTTTCTTGTCGCTTGATGGCATCAATTGATGTTTTAATAAGCCAGCTTTTTGGATTATTGGACGTCGCCTAATGCCCCTTTTTGATTTGAGGCTTTGGCGTTTGAATGTGTGACCCTGCTGGCTTGTTTACATACCCCGACTGTAGTAGCATTTTTGCAATGAATGGGTTCATTCTGAATTATATTATATAGAACAGACTAACATTGCCATACATTTTTCATTGTACCATCCTTAAAGTCAGTTATTAACTCTTAAAAACCCCATTAAAATGTAACATTTTGGTGAAAAATGCATGTTTAAAAGGCAACTTTAAGGAGTCAAAAAAGTGAAACTGACCTTTGATGACGAGCTGTAAATATGGCTTACATATTCCTATGCTGCCCTTCACATTAATGATTAACAGGTTTAACTCTTGACTGAACTTAAGGCGTGTTTAACCCTAATGTTGTGTTTGTGGTTCAGGAAAACCCCCTCCTGGTCCCTCTTCCAACAGTATACTTAACGTTGTTTTATCACCGCCATAAAATGTCCTAATTTTTACGATGGATGGAGTCTCAAAAAAGACACAATCTGTAAAACACTGTTAAATACAGTGAGCCAAATCCCAAATGAATAATATATGTTCATGTTATTGGATTCCATTTGTACTTTAAATTAGTATTTTCCAGTTCATGACACGCTATAGGCTACTTCTACTGCATTACATTTAGAAATACTCTACTTTTTTTTATTCTATTTGACATTTACTAGTTACTAGTTTTGACATTAAAGTCAACATATGATATGTGATATGATGCAGTACTGTACTACGTATATACAGAATATCTTGAATTGGCTCCACTTTGACAAACTACAACATTAATGGAGCAAAAACAGAATACTATTATATTATATAATAACTAAAAAACAAAGCCATTTCTGCATAATAAGTACTTTTACTTTTGATACTTTTAGTACATTTAAGTATTTTAAGATCATAGTTTAGGGATATAAGAAAACTTAGAAGAAAACTATAATAATATCCTAAACACAAGGATAAATTCACTGAGCCTTCACCAAAAACAGGCACATTTAGTATGTTTGATTGTTAGAAAATACATAATACGGACAGAATTGTATAAAAAAGTTCCTGAAAGTATCAGTAATAACTCAACTCTGATCAATGTTCACAGGAAATAATCCGCTTAAAAAACATCCAAATCGCTCGTTTCACACAAACTTCCTGCAGTTCTTGTGTTCACTGTTAATATAATAGGAAATATACATAAAATATGTCACTTAATCGGGGTCATAGGTGTATTCAGTGATATAAAAGGAGTCCCTTAAGGAAGAAGGCTGGGAACTGCTGCATTAAGATAAGATCAGGGGGTAATTCACAAGATAGCAGTGTCTAAAGTAGGCTAATTAAAATGATGTCCACCTTTTACCAGCTGCAGCATCAAAGTAATGTACACATGATCAGCAACTATAACCCATTCATATTCTGAAACAGGTCTTTTATGCATAATGTGTATTTTAACTTTTCATATATATATTTTAAACACTTTTGGGCTTTAAAAAACTGCTTGTAGGAGAGTATTTCTACACTGTGGTGGTGCAACCTCTGGCTCCTTCTTCCACCTCTTCCACCATATAGCTTTAATATATCTGTACACCACAGCTCTCCCCGACCAGGCCACCAGGCGGGCACCGAGCCAGACACATGCAGCCTCCCATCAGCCCCCTCTGTGTCTCTGTGGAGTCGGGTTGCGTAGCTCGGTCGGTATGCAAACATTAGTGGCTGAATCCCCGGTGAATAGCAGCCTTATGGGCTCTCACACCGGAAGCGTTATAGGGCAGTTTGGAGATCCACACAGCACATATCCATCCACTCAAACACACATATTCATGCGGGGCTGATCCAGTTGTATCTCCTGTAGTAGAAGGTCACTGTTTGTGTGAGCCTTATGTGGGTTTTTAATGACATTATGCTGTTAAATAAGTCTAATTTCTTGCTGTTATTAAAGGCACCAGGCGACACAAAAACGCCTCCGATGATATTTGTTAACAGGCTCTCCTAAAATGTCTAATAAAGATTAGGATGGACTCCAACCATACTCCATATTTAGAAGATTGTTTTAACTGCAGGCTATTATTAGACTGAAAAATAGGCCTCGTGCTTTCATAAAGAAGCATTTTCAGGCTTAAAGACATGATGAATATTAGAAATATAAATGTTAAAGCTTTAAAAAATAGAAAAAACACAAGCAGCGTACTTGGAGCAGGAGTGGAGTTTAGGCCAGAATGGTTGCTCTCTTCTTCCCTTACGCTGTTTCCTTGCGCCGTTCAGGACCAGGCTGATGTGGGCTCCATGGCACCGACGGGTCTGGATCGATCCTCTCCGAACAACAACCGAAAGACTCTCGCAAAAAAGCTTCTCCGGGAGTCGATGTTTTGGTCCTGAAGCCCGAAATCAGCGCAAAAAAAGGGGCTGGCGCACAACAGCAAGGCCCCTAGAGTGGAGGGCTCAGTTGCTCGTTAATGTCAGGCCCGATCGAGAGCTGAAAGAAGAAGAAGAATCAGAAGAAGAAGAAGAAGAAGAAGAAGGGGGGGAGAAAAAAGAGAGAAACGCATCCAGAGCAGGTGCGATTAAAAACCCGGATCTTGCGCTTTTCAGCCGGAGCCTCGAACCAAAAAAAAAGAACCACGACCGAGCCCCTCTTCTCTGTCTCTCAGCCGAGGAGCGCGTCTGTTTTCGGGGGCAGGATGCTCGCTGTCAGAGGGGAATCCCGCGGTATCATAGCGGTGTTTGCTGTGTGTTTGTAAGGGGTTCGCTGCTGATGAAATGGCAGCAGTAGCAGCAGCATCATATAGCCTGACTCATCCCGCATCAGTACCACTACCGTAAAGGACCGTGGAGAGGCGCACACGGCTGTTGTAAAGCTTCCAAAGACATAGAAAAAGTAAAATAACAGACACACTTTTAGTCCAAGGGAATAATAAGCATATTGTGGATGGTAGATTGTTATTATTGTTATCATAATTAGTTTTAAAATGAGAAATATAAAATCTTACAGTATGATTTCTGGCTCATTATAACTGAAAGTGACAATGATATTATTATTATATCATCTTTAAATAAGTCAAATCAATCAGTTCTTATAGGAGATGAAAAGGAAACACAGACGCTGTAGTTCAGGAAAATAATATTATACTGTTTTTTGTTTATTAATAATACTGTAGTGATTGTTTTTGTTCAACAAGAGGGAAGCTGCACACTCACTGTGCCAGTGCGCTGTCCATGTGCGCACTCATCAGTACGCAGGCACGGAAGTGGACGAGCTGCAAGGTGGGGAGTGTAGTTTTTACACGCGCAGCACGGAGCCTTGTGTGTTTTTTATGTGTGTGTTGTGTTTTCCACACTTCCACACAGGGCCAGCTGAGGTCATAAAGGTTTCTTTTGTTTTTAGGGATTTGTTTTAATTTGTTAGAGTTAATATTTGAAGATGCTGTGAGGGGGTATTTTGTTTAAAAGTTGTTGTTCCACCTTTTGGGTGAACACTGAGCATCAAAATGAATTTGTGAGACTCCACAATCATGCAGCATTTCCAAGAAACTTCAGGCAAGACAGAGTGTGCCGTATCTTTCTGTTGTTTTCTATTATTATAATGTTTCAAAGGTAACAGTGAAGCAACAAAACAACCTTATCAGAATTAGTTATTAATGAACAACCAGTACTAGGTCATATCTACATCTCAGCTCAAAGCAGGAGAATCAACCTTCATTTATCTTATATTGATATTGTAGAAAAAGAACGTGGACAAGTACAAGTTTGTTTCAAGTTGTTAAAACAAATGTAGAACTTAAATCAGTCCTTGTACTCATCCTTTTGAAACAAGGTGGAGCTGTTGTTTTCCAGTCTTTAGTCTTTCTTTATCTTTCCGATTTAGATCGCGATCAAGAGAACTTAAAGTCGCCCTCAACTCAAAAACATGTCTTTCTTCTTGTTCCTACAGTGTGATGTTTGATCTTCCCTGTACAGGATGATGTCTGTGCAGAGTTTGACACTACAAAGATGTTTTCACATTCATCTGC